CCGTTAGCGAGTGTGAGGAACCACGAGTAGAGTATAGTGGAGGGAAATTATTCATCAAGGTCAAAACCACAATTTGAATATTTTTTTTTTATTTTATTATCTAAAAAAATATTTTATACGAAGGAATTTATAAAAAATATAAAAATTAGGCTTTGCCGCCAATTAACAACATTTAGTAATTTAATTTCGTTATATTTTTATTTATATTTTTCAACCAAATTGAAATATTATAACAATAATTACCAAATAAATGCTTTTTTTGGTATAAATTTTATATTTCTTTGTTAAACTTTTATCTCTTGGTGTAAGTGGGAGTACATTGTTTACACACACAATATTCTTTGAGGTCCTGTGTCATTTCGATAAAGTGAATGTAAACTTTTCAACTTTTAGCAAAGTACTTACTGTTGTTTATCAAAGTTGGTGTGTTTTCCCACTGAAAAGATTAAGCAGCAGGTGCATGAAATGTAAAAAAATATAAACTTATTTAATATTATTATTTTTCTATGGCAAATAAATATGTGTAAAGAAAATATACAATTGTAAATATAAAAAGAAAACTTTTTTATAATTAATTGACAAATTTTTCAATGATATTGCATGGTTCTTAGAGACCTTATAGGAATTTAAAATATTCTATTCAGTTTTTTCTTTTTTTTTTCAAATTTTAAAATAGAGCTCCTAAAATCTTTAATAAATAATAGTATATTATGTTATTATAAGTAAAAGTGATAGTTTATGTGGCGAAGCTAAATGTTTAATTCGCCGAAAGGAGTGATGCAAATGATTCAACTAAGCCACATAAACGCACTTTTACTCCAAATATCATATACTATTTTATCCGCAAATGTATTGAGATCAAGAGTAAAGAGCATAACAATAATTACTAAGTAAATAAACAAAATATTCAGAAGACTTTGCAATGAAATCATAACAAATGTCACCTGTCAGTTTTGGAGTTTGTCTTGAGATTTTCGAAAGTGTCTATGATTTACCTAATGAACTTAGTGCAGTTAAAACGTTACATGATTTGAGTTTGCGTTTCTTTGTTGTCAGTTTAATTTTCAAGTCTCAGGTCAATTTGACAATATTTTATTAATTTGACGTTCTTTTTAGGTCTGTAATCGTTATTTAGGTAGCAATAAGAGCATAATAAGGAAATTATGGAGCGAGAGAATATTTAAAGCACGTTAGTTCAAAAATAAAATAATAGGGACAGAATTGCACGATTATTCTTGAGGTGCCATTTATAGCCAGAGGGCAAGTCGAACAGCAAAAGAATAACAACATTTCTTCCCAGTAGTGTATATACAATTTTTTACACGACTTGAGTTAAGAAAAGTAAGTCTTTAATAGAATTAAAAAATTAGCATTCTTTGAAATTCGATTGTAGTAACAATAAAAATGTTTATTCACAATCACTAATGTAATATGCCGATTACTAACCTTTTTAAGCTTGGGAAACATGTCATTATTTTTCATGAAAAGTAATAAATGTTACTCCTCTTGGGTGGTAATATGCAGGATTGCCAACGTTAAAATTACGAAAATACCGGAAATTTTTTCTTTTAAATTGTCAAGTTACGGATAATATTTCACTAAATTAGTATTCAATTGCTTTTGTAGCAGTTTCTCTTAATTCTGGGGGAGTACATTGCTCCATTTCGACGACTTTAAATTGGATTTACACATTATTTCAATATTTTCTTTGACATTTCCGAAATGTCAAAAATCAAAAGTCATTTGGATGGCCTACCACGTTTGGACCTTAACTTTGTTAGAATTTTATTTTACTCAAATTTTTGACTGAAAATAATGTGATTGTGAATAAAATAGCATAGAAACCTCGGTGATAATGGCATTACCCCTTGTGCTTTATCCGATCTCGAGGCTAGCGCCTCTCTATCGTATACATAAGCACTCGGGGTAATGCCATATTTACCACCTCGCTTGTAATGTACTATTATTCACAATCACTAATGTAATATGCCGATTACGAACCTTTTAAAGGTTGGGATACACATCATTAAATCTCATAAGGAGTAATAATATTACTTCTCTTGGGCGGTAATATGCTCGATGGCCAACCTTAAAATTACAAAAATACCGGGAATTTTTTCTTTCAAATTGTCAAGTTACGCAGAATATTTTGCTATATTAGTATTTAATTGCTTTTGTGGCAGTTTCTCTTACTTCTGGGGGAGTACACTGCTCCATTTCGACGATTCTAAATCAAATTCATACATTATTTCAATATATTCTTTGACATTTCTGAAATGTCAAAAATAAAAGGCCATTTGGATGGCCTACCACGTTTGGACCTTAAGTTTGTTATAATTTTATTTTATTCAAATATTTTGACTGAAAATAATGTGATTGTGAATAAAATAGCATACAAACCTCGGTGGTAATGGCATTACCCCGTGTGCTGTATCCGATCTCGAGGCTGGCGTGTTTATGTATAACACTCAGGGTAATGCCATATTTATTATTTACCACCTCGCTTGTAATGTACTATTGTCGTCAATGAATGGGAATGACTTAGTAACGGGAGCAAATTATGCTCATTTCTCTCATAGTTTTGACATAAGAATAGCTAATTTCTACTAGCTGCCGCGCAAAAATAGTTGTTTGCATTATTTACAGTGCCGGCAATTGAAAGTCGGGCAGTCAAATTGACATTTTATGACATTTTGAAGAATTTTGGTAAATCAGACTTTTACCTTTATTATTGTTTGACTATTTACAGGGTGATCTAGTTTGTAACTAATCATCGGTATCTTTACCTTTGAATTTATTGACAATTCAATAATTTCGGTTTATGAAAGTCAATTAATATTTAAATTAAACTTTAATAACACCAACAAGAACATAAATAATATTTTAACTAATATTTTATAGGCGCTCCATTTTTCGTTTAACTGCCTCTAACCTTCTCGGTAATGAAGCAACCACGTTTGAAGCGTGGTTTGCAGCAAATTGATTCCACACTTCTTGTAATTTTGCCCACAAATCTTCAACGTTTTGTGGACGAAAATTATTGCTATAATTTACTTTTTTAACCCAGACATTTTCTATTGGATTTAAATCTGTACTCCTGGAAGGCCAAGGTAGAACTCGAAAATTGTGTTCCTGCATCCACTGTTTTACAATCCGTGCGGTGTGAATCGGGCAATTATCATGTTGGTATATAAAATCTTCAGTAAATTTGACTTCAACTGACGGTAACATAACATTTTCTAAAATGTTAACATAAGACCGTGCATTAAATCTGGGTCCAATATCAACACCTCTGGAGCTCATCCACCCCCAAACATTTACCGAAAATCGACCTGTTTCTTGTACGCACTGTGTATATTTTTCTTCATAGCGTGTGTTTGGAGGTCTATACACACAAGTTGAAGAAGGTATATCTATTCAAGCACAAATCTGAAATTCCGAAATGAGCCGCGTAGCGGCGAGTTGAGGAACAAATGAGTGCTTGAGTGCTTCTGCAACAAGTGCTTTATACTATTTTTTCTATTTTCCCGCTTTATATCATTTTATAAATTAAAAAACGAAAATTTTAATTATTTTTTTTCTAGAGAATTTTGTGACGGTTGGCGACATTTATTTGGAATAATTTTAGGCGGCTGTAAAAAATAAAAATAATTCTTATTTTCACATTTGGAAATGAATTGTGAAGACAGTCCGTCACTAAAATTAAATTAACGCCAACGACTTATTCCAGCACTCAAATGACGTCATTTGGGTGCTGGAATAGACTTATTTTAACACCGAAATAGAAAACAGTCTTTCTAACACGATTACGTGCAGTCCTGATTGAGCCTGGGAAATTTGTCGCTCGTTGTGCGGTTGCAACGTATTCAAAAGGGTGATCTTCCAAAAATTGTCGAAGAATATTATTTTCTTCTTCGGTGGAAACTGGTTGCCGACCAGTTCTCACTTTTCTGTCCAGATAATGTCTTTGATTCCACCTGGCTCTGACGTCGTGCACTGTACTTTTTGGGACCTGCATCCTTTAGGCCCCCTTCTTTCTGAACAATGGTTTTCCAAAAGAGTTATTATCCTTGCTTTTTCAGCTACGCTTAATTGTGGCATTGTTATTAATCGAAGAATAATTTAGTTTTCTGAAAAGATTGACACTTCAGGTTTGACAATTAATATTGTCTCTAATATTTTGATATATCTATTTCCTAGGATTATTGGAAGTAACAATAAATTTTATTTTATAATAGAAAATTTATTACTGCCCGACTTGCAATTGCCGGCACTGTACATAAAGGGAGAGACATACACAATTTTAACTGAGGTGCCGTTTATAGTCAGAGGACGAAACCTGAGGACTCTAAAGCACCAAAGGAATAATTGAATTTTTTCCATTGCTGTATATGTATACCATTTTTCCACAATTTGAATTAAAAAATCCGAAAAATGTGCTGTTTTTTTAATAAAATGTAAAAACTAGCATAAAGCTAGCATTCTTTGAAATTACACCATGATGATAACTTGATAACAATAAGAATGTTTGTTGACAATGAGCCTATCAATGAATGGGAATGACTTAGTAACGGGAGCAAATATTTGTTCCCGTCATTAAGTATATTTCTCTCCCTCGAGAGAGAATTTTAACTTCTGTCACAATTTTGACATAAGAAAAGTGGATTTCTACTTCGGTCGTGCAAAAAGTATCTTTTTTTTTTCATGGTCTTTGAAAACCTAAAATGTTTTCGTTATTTTACCGCACTGTTTTCTACTATTCTTCACACAAACAAGAAAAGACAGTGATGATGCCACGCATTTTTTCTACGATCTTTTTTAAAACACAGAACAAAGCAGAATTTTTTTTCAGAATTAGCCGCTGAAAGAATAATTTTTCTGAAAATGTGACAAACTTTGGTAAGTATGTGTCCTTGTAAATCAGACCTTGAGCGCAGAATCCCGTACTGTACCAACCGGCGTCTCTTAGCGTCGCGACGCTTCAGTGTGCGTGTCCGTGTTAGAGCTTGCAGAAGTTCAAGCTCCGGTTTATCGCTACGCGAAGTTAAACTTTTCCGTTTACTAAAAACTTTAATAATTCAGTGAAAGTGATTCGAATGTGACTGTTTTATTTGGTGCAGAGCACTTTGTTATCTTGACTACCTCGAAAGAAGAAAGTTTCTGACGAATTATAAAGTGTAAGTTGTCAAAAAGTTGATTTTGTTGCCCCAGAGACAGACAATAATGAAAAGATAATATTTGGAGCAACTATAATTAACTTAATGTAAAATAACATTTCTTGCTGTGTTATTATGAAAATAAATGTTCAGTGTTGGTAACGTTGTTTTAAGGCTTGTTGAGGTAAAAGCATTTTTCGCTTGTAAAAAGGATAATTACGTTTGCTATGTAATTTTAGAGATACATTTTTTACTAGCAAATAAAATCATTTCAAGTATGTAATATTTCAACGATTTTTAGAATGTGTGTAAGCTTGAAATTTTTTCATATACTCGTAAGAAGGGAATCGTTTCTTTTTTTTTTTAATATCTCTATGTAATATTTTCTGCTGAATATTATATTTGATATTAAATCAGCGGCGTTTCATGATTTCATGATTTTTTACATTTAGACGACAAATAAGTTTTATGATGTAGCTGCTACTCCATTAAACCGTAACTGTATCCTTGTGAATAAAACTTTCTTCTATTATTGGAAGAATTATAGCACTTTGTCATTTTTCTTATACAGAAAGGCAATGACACTTTTCTTACATTTTTTATATTAAATCTGAAAAAGGACCAGTAACATGTCTGATTGTTTTGTTACTGTCGTTTTTTGTAAAATTTTGAAAATAATTGCGTTGACTTAAATTCCTCTAGTATTTTTATTACTAAAAATAGAAAAGTAATGTTTTGCACATTGGTAAAGAAGACTATCAAATTCTAAAAGTATATAGAGATACATACAAGTTGTATCTTGATGTCATCAAATCAATTAAATATCTAATAATAATTGTTCCCCTCACAAAACTCCTTAATGAATGCATTAGTAAAAGTATATTTCCTACCTGCTTAAAAAAATCTTTAATAATTATGTTAATAAAAAGGTGATCCTGATAATTAAAACTATTGATCAATCTCATTGTTGCCAAAAATATTTGAGAGGCTGTTAATGGTGAAAATCACAAAATACTTCGAATCTTGTAGATTGTTTATTTGGTTTAGGAAAGAATTTGTTCATTGTTGTTCATTGTTCATTTTAGTCTTGTACTTTAAAAATAATCTTGATTGTATATTTATAAAAAAAAAATGTAACTTTTTGTTGAACATTATTTGAAACAGTTAAGATGAGAACTTATCGACTAACATTTTGTTTGAACGAAAGCACTTTCAAGTGACAACTTTAGAACTCTGTCTTAGTTCAGACGCCTTGGGTACATGTACACAACGATGATAATAACATTCTTATATCTGGCTTTTACTCAAGATATGTCGTTTTGAAGTTTTGTCTGTGATGTCATAACCGCCTCGAAGGCATTTTTGTTTAGTTTAAAAATCAAGTTGTGTTGGATTTTGTACGTTTCGGTGACGTTTATGTAAAATCTGAGAAACTAAGACGGGCGTGTAAAACTTGCAAAATATTTTATTTTTACCGAAATAAAGTATGTACTCGTATTATATTATTTGTGCTTTAGAATTTAAAAATTAATGAATCTTTTTTATAAGTTTTTATAAGTACTTTCGGCGAACTTTAAGATAGCGATTTTAGTTTTTGCTTTTTAAGAAAAAATTGATTAAAAATTATTTCTGTTAAATAAAGAACAATTATATTCCATTCATCGTAATCAGCTTTATTTTTTGAAAGTTATCAATTTTCAGTATATTTTTAAATAAACTTCAAAATCGTTTCACTAGAATGAAACATTATGAAAATCTAAGAATTATAGAAAGAGCAAATCCATTTAATTTCATATGGTGTGATCTAATACAAAAAGGAAAATCAGTTTGGGTTTTAAGCAAAAATTATAATTTGTAAATTGTTACTAAAAGTGAGAATGCGAATTAAAAGAGAATTGCTGTGATGGGATTGCAAACTAATGCGTTTGTTTTGCATTATTTTAGATTAAAATAAAGCGATAATGGGAAAATTGCATGACATATGGAAAAACCAATCTGAATTTAGTATTTGATATGATCACCATAGCAACACAAAATTTTATTGGAAATTTTTTGACTCATTAGCTAAAATTAATAAATGACACAAAAACTAACCTCTAATATTTAGTAACACTTTATTTTAAACATAAAAAACTAAGACTTATTTACTTGAACTCGTGATGTCATGCAATTTTTACTTAAAATATCCCGATTGGATTGGAAACACTTTCTCGTGATTGGCAAAAACGTGTAATTAGCTTTCGTGTTCCACTCGGGCTAATTACTGACGTTTTTGACAAACACTCAAAAAAATTGCGGAAACAATCAATGCACTCGAGATATTATAAGTGAAAATTTATTCCTAGATTTGTTCCATGTATAAAAATTACAAGTTTTTAATATTGGAAAAAATTCTTGTTATTATTTTTTTATATAAAATATTTTTAGCATATAATATTTCTTTTTTATGTTGCAACTATACACGGTGCGCCAGAACTCGCGCCCCAGAGAAAAATGCGATATAAGGTAAGATACCAGGAACATGGAAAAAATGTTAAAAAAATTTTATCTATAAAAAATTCGAAGTTATGAGGGTTTAAAGTTTGCACTTTGACTTTATTTATTTTTGTTGGAAAAATAGTTTTCCAAGTTTTTTTGCTATAGGCTATTAAAAGAGGAAACAAGGAAGCTGTATCCTAAATTGTAACTCTGTTCAATGTTATTTGTGGCTTTTGTTAGCACAATTTTTGTCTCTTTACTAAATATTTGTTAAAAAACATATACAAGATCATCAGTACCATTAAATAGATATAAAAAAATGTCAAATGTCAAAAAATAAATATCAAAATTTTTTGACAGATAGAATTTTTTAAACATTTTTTTCATCTCCTGGTATATTACCTTAATTGAAAATTTTCTCTGGGGCCCGAATTCTGGCGCACCCTGTATACATTACCTTTCTTTGAGAACATTTTTATTTATGACAATGATGAAATTAAACAAATCTATTCTATGTATGATAGATTCTTTAAAAGACAATATAATAAAGAAAAAATAAATTTAGAAAACCCACTATCGGAATCCAAAAAATGCATTTTAAAATAGTATATTATATCATAAGGTAGAGAAGAGATTTTTTATAGCCGAGCTAGAAATAATAAATGCGAGACTATAAAAATCTCCTCTACCGTGTTTTATGTAATTTTTTTTCACTACTAGCACATTTATTACCCGGAAATACAACGGTGAAAAATACGAGTATAACCCTACTTAATGTACATGTTACCTCAGAGGTAACATGTCGTAATTCACAACTACTATTTCTGTTAATTCACTATTACCTACAGTTATTAATTACTTACTTGAGTTATTAACTTAAGTTTACATTTTATTGAAAAAAAGTAGTACATACAATGTATACAGGGTGCGCCAGAACTGGCGCCCCAGAGAAAAAGGGTAAGGTAAAATACCAGGAACAGAGAAAAAAATGTAAAAAAATTCTATCTATAAAAATTTCAAAGCTATGAGAGTTTAAATTTTGCATTTTGATTCTATTTATTTCTGATGGAAAAATAATTTTCCCAGTTTTTTTGCTACAGGCTACTAGAAGAAAGAAGCTGTATCCTAAATTGCAACTCTGTTTAATGTTTTTTGTGACGTTTATTGGCATGGAGTAAAAATTCAATTTTTACGCCTGAGCGTTTTTACTTTTGCCATGACATTATTGACATTTTTTGCTGATTCAGCAATTCCTGGAGAGGTATGTATATACATTGTAGTTTATCAGCATTTGACATTTTGCACTACTAAATGCTTTAGTCATCCACTAGTTAATTTAATAAACACTTTCGAAAATCTTAACAGAAATTCCGGTACTGCGCGTGATGTTTGTTTATAATGATTTTATTAGTTGCAAAGCATTCTAATTATTTTGTTCATTTACTTGTAATTAAAAGTTGCTTTTTACTTTCGATTTGAATACATTTGCGTATAGTATATGTTATTCGGACTAAATGTGAGTTCATGTGGCCCAACTGAATTATTTGCCTCACTAAGTTTGTCAAAATAAACGTAAAGCTTTGCCACATAAACTATCACTTTTACTCCTAATCGAAAAAAATGTTCTGTTTTAGATAGTTTGGCTCCGGATTGAGGTTACAAGAGAAAAAAAATATCTTTAATTTTACGTCACAACTGCAAAGAAAAAACATTTTTTGCTTTTGCTGAAACAAGCAAATCTGWAATTAAAACTTCATTATTCTAACTCAGTAGAAAGAAAATTTATTTTTTTCTTGATTTTGGAATTTTTCCTGCTTTTTAAATCTTATCACATTGGCGGTTTCATTTTTTTGATAATGATGTCACTTTGACAAATGAGTTTTTGTGAAACACAAATAATTTTAATAAATACCAACTCAAAGAAACAGCTTTAAGATAAAAACAAAGTCATTTTAACAAGAACTATCATCACCTTTAAAATTATTAAATTAATTGTCAAAGTGACATATAGTTGTCGAATAAATAAAACCGCCAATGTGATAGGACTTAAAAAGCRGAGAAACATTGTTAAAAGTTCAAAATCAAGAGAAAAATTAATTTTTCTTTTCACTGAATCAGAATAATGAAGTTTCAATTACAGATTTGCTCGTTTTATATAAATAAAAAAAGTTTTGGCGTAAAATCAAAGATGAAAAATTTTTCCTCTCGTAAACTCAATCCGGAGACATACTGTACCTACAGGRTGCGCCAGAACTCGCGCCCCAGAGAAAAATTTCAAGTAAGGAAAGATACGAGGAACATGAAAAAAATGTTTAAAAAATTCTATCTGTCAAAAAAATTTGACATATATTTTTTGACATTTGACATTTTTTATATCTATTTAATGATACTGATGATCTTGTATATATTTTTTTACAATTATCTAGTAAAGGGACAAAAATTTTGCCAATAAAAGCCACAAATAACATTGAACAGAGTTACAATTTAGGGTACAGTTTCCTTGTTTCCTCTTTTAATAGCCTATAGCAAAAAAACTTGGGAAA